TCTGTCAAAGTATCATCTAACTTGCTTTAAAACTTTCCGAGATTTATTATTTTAAGTCCCTATATTTTGAGTTAATTAACAAAATGGCTGAATACTTAACGAATGAGTCACCGTAACCCAAATAATTTCCATCAAAAACCAATTTCTGGAAATGTCACAAAGCTCTCTGGAGATAGATACTGAGGAAGATGACGAAGTGGTCGATCGTTAAGAGAATCCCCGTCTATGGTGCTTCATTCAATTCAATGGTAACAAAACCCGATTCATTTTCCTGATTCATGTTTTGTTCGTTCGATGATTCTCTCTCGCTATTTCTCTATGATTGTTACTGTTTCTCGAGTTTTCCACAAACGTTTGGACCGATTCAGATAATGAAATTTGGAAACATCCATGTTATTCCGAGCCTGATCGTCCGTAGTTTGTGGAGTCTTCATGCTCCAGCATGTGTTTGATTATATGAGTTTTATGGTAAATATGAGAAAATTTTGTTGTTTTCATCTCTGGAACTTAGAAATCGATTCACATTGTTCAACCTTGTATGTGGAAGTTGTTGATAGATTGTAATTCAAAGACGAGCTTTGTTTGTTCTATTATGCAAATTGATTTCTTTGGTTTTATGTGTACTGACATTGCAGAAACATTTGGTGTTAGCTCCAGCTGATTTGAGCTGGAGCTGCTCGTTCTCCGGTTTGCATTCTTTGATAAACACAGGTGAAGATGACGAAGAACTCCTGAAGAAGATAGTTAACCATAGTGAAAGTGAATCAAAGTTCATCAGCAAAATCAATTATACGAATCTTGTTGAGAAGTATACAAGAGATGGAAATCTCTCTGGTGCGTATGACTTGTTGCAGTCCTTACAAGAAAAGAACATTTGCTTGCCTATTTCGGTTTCCCAGAACCTTCTCACAGCAGCGGGTGAGCAGAACGATCTGAAGCTTTCTTGCAGAATTTTCAGAGAGCTATTGGTCTCGGTGGGTACGCCCTCGAGTTCAGATTGTTATCTCAACCTCGCTAGAGCCTTCATTAACACGGATGATTGCACGCATTTGTCTAGTCTTCTCAAAGAAATTTCAGAGTCTTCTCTTCAGTGTAGGTTAATAGTAATGAACAGAATCATCCTTGCATTTGCGGAATCTAGACAGATTGATAAGGTCCTTATGATATTTAAGCAGATGAAAGAGTGGCAATGTAAACCAGATGTGATCACATACAACTCGGTTTTGGTTATCTTGGGCCGAGCTGGCCTCGTGAACGAGATGCTCGGGTTATTGTCTTCGATGAAGGAAGATTGCGATGTATCCCTAAACATTATTACATACAACACGGTCTTAAACGGGATGAAGAAAGCTTGTAGATTCGATATATGTTTGGCATTATACAGCGAAATGGTGCAGTGTGGAATTGAACCGGATTTGCTAAGCTATACCGCTGTGATAGACAGTTTGGGTCGATCAGGGAACACAAAGGAAGCGTTGAGGCTTTTCGATGAGATGAAAAACAGACAGATTCGACCGTCGGTCTATGTCTACCGAGCATTAATCGATTGTCTGAAGAAGTCAGGAGATTTTCAGAGGGCAGTGCAGCTTTCGGATGAGTTGAAAAACACATCCTCGTTAGATTTGGCAGGTCCACAAGATTTCAAGATACACATGAGATCACATAGACGCTAAAGTAGCTTTGTTTAAACTGTTAGTGTATGATATCATAAACAATCTCGTTTAGTTTGATTTTGGTTTTGATTCGATTTGAAGAAACCTGAGAAAATGACATTTGAAGGTCTGAAGAGTATGATGGATGATAATATGACTAGTCTCATAAAGTTTGCATACTACAGAATTACAAAATGTGTGTCAAAGTTTCTCTTTGAAAGAAAGAAGATATTTTGGGTGCGGAACCTGAGATTTGCACTGGCAGTCGGGGAGGCCGATATATGTCCCGATAAGTCTGCTAAATTACGAAAATAGCCTTACGCATCCGCTTTTCTTACCATAGCTTGTTCTTCACCCAGAAAAGGAGGAAAACAACACCAAACACGATTGCGACTGGTGCCCATTTCCGGATCAAAGCCTGGTTTTACCAAATTGATGTTTCAGAACCATAAGCAAACAATCTGAGCTATAAACTAAATCACGATCACAAGAATTGAGAGCATCTCAAAATATGTGTGATCAATGTTGCATTGTGTAATACAAGGAATATATGATAAAACTCACCTGACGGTTCAAATCTTTAGCCTTATCAGCATATACACGAGATTCAGATGTTAACCGGCTAGACATCTCGCTCACCTCTGCATTTAAAAACAACAAGAAGAGGAAATGGTACATGAGCATATGGCTCTGCTGATTATAACAAATGCACAGAGATTGATTCCGCTTCTCCTTATTCTAAAAGCTTTATCCATTGATCATAGGAAAAGGAATGGATAAGATTACTTACGGTCCAGCTTTTCACCAACACCTAGGACTTCTTGCACATTCCGCGTCATTATTTGATGAACCTCATAGAGTTCATCATTCAGCTTGGCAATATTACGTTGTGTACGGGTGTCCTGGTACAGTTTCTTGGTTTTCTGTATGAAGGTATCTACACACACACAAAAAAAAAGAGCAAAGGGGGAAAAAGAGTGAAAACTCCGGAAAGGTATGTTTCCAAGAAACTGAATAAATACAGAAGTGAATCCACAGTACACGTACCAAATTTAATAAAGGCATAAGGTCGAGCAGCTGTTTCGATGTTAGGCCCATTGACACGTTCAAATTCATTCATGAGATCTTCCAGGTATTGGAAAGCGAGTTTCTTTGGGTAAGAGCGGTCACACATAGTCAAGTAGCAAACACGTCCTTCTATAATGTAACTAAGGTTTTTTGGTCAAGGAAAAGCGTAGATATTTGGTCTTTCTTTCACCTAAGTTTCGAGATAAAACAATACCAATATGACAAAGACTGGTATATAAATAATCACATCTCAATCATTATGCAAGACTGTTAAAAGCCTAAACCTTCCCTATATTATATGCAAAACGACTAATTAATTTTCTGCAATACTTATGATAATATCGTTGTCCTATCAAAGTAGATACCCTCTTAAATGTGAGACTATACTATACTTAACAAGGTAATGGTTAGAAATAAGATGTTCAAGGATACTGGAAAACATAGGGGCCAGTTTCAACCGACATCCTCGAAGCCTCATTTTGGCCTCTGGAAAGATTCTTAAACAGAGCCTTGACCTGTTGCTTATACATGTCCGAATCTGGTAAGTCACGTCCATCATCGAGCCCTTCTGCTAGAGGCAACCCATCGGTAACACGAGCTATCAATGTCATTTTCACCATCTTTGCCTTATACCTTCTTCAATAACAATTAAACTGCAATTATCAAAAAAATTCCCAAACATGAATCCTGCATCTCGCCAAAATCCACAAACCAAAATGTAAAGCAATTGAATCACGCATGATAGTCAAAAAGAGAATTTAAAATCTTGGTTTTTCCAACAATGAGGGTTCGAAATAGCTTATTCTTTGCTTGCAATTCGATACTATTCAAATGTGAGATGCTGATTTCAGCAGAGAACATGAAACTCAAAGAAACTCCAGACTGAGTATCATCAGGAAGCTTCCATTTGCCACATTGTGACAAATCACCACAAGGATATCATCATGAAACCAATACAAATTCGTAATCTACGTTTGACAAATTATAAAATCAAATTCGAAAGAAATCAAAGATCTAATGACAAAATCCATTACAGATTTCAAATGAATAATTGATCCACCAGATTACAAACTCAGAACGCAGCACAAAGTCTCTCGATCCCAAAACGGAAGAAACCTCACAAAGATCGGAACATTCAACGAAATTCTCCATGCTATATATCGGAAAACTACACATAAACATGGATATAGACAAACCTGAAACGAGCATGAAAATTGTTCTTCCTCGATTCAAAGATCTGGGAATCAAAGAGAAGACGATGATCGAAGGAAGGAAAGAGAAGTAATTTTTATTTATTTTTAATTAAAGAGGGTTTATCAAGGGGGCTGAATTATTATTATTTTTTTCCTTTTTTTTTCCTTTTCATTATGACGATCTACGTTTGCGATATGCTTATTATGGTGATTGGGCTTGTGACGCGTTTTGTTGACATGTCTTGATGACGTGGCGCGCGTTTGATTTAGCTTCACATAGCGTTTGCCTTCTTAACCGGTCGGTTCGCTCCTAAAAATCCAAGCCTCTTATTTATGACAGAGAAAACCGGAAAACCGGTCCAAAACCATTCTTCTTCTCCGTTTAGCCCTCCCTCTTCTTCAATTTCTTCTCTTTTCTGCTCAAAATCACTAAATCGTCAGCTTTTTCGTCACCGGAATCCGCCGTCGAGAACCATCTCTCGCCGGTTTCTGTCTTTAATTTCTTCCTCCGACTTCATTTTCCGTCTCTTTTAGATGCGAAATCGAAATGTCCCCTTTGTTTTCTCAGTTTGATTTGTCTTCCATTTCTGTTCGAATTCGATTTCTGTCGGAGCACTACTGATTTGATACTCGAAGCCGATTACGTGATCAATGGCGAAAGCTATGGAATCAAACTCGAAATCAAGGAAAGAAAGCATTTTGATCAAATACGCCATCTTCTCGCGGCTCCTCGTTCTGAGCTTAACCATTTTGTGGCGGAACTTTCTCCAACCATACGATACATCCGCCGCACTGAACCCACCTTGCCTGTATCACAAAGACGTCGCCGAAGATCCTCCTCCACAACTTGTAGCCAATGCAATCTCCAAGGCCCTTGAAAATAGTGTAGTCTGGGACAGTGTGTATTTCCTCCGAATCACGCAATGTGGATACGAGTATGAGCAGACTTACGCCTTCTTGCCACTGCTTCCCTTCTTCATCTCCCTTCTCTCTCGCACAGGTTTTGAAATTTAGAATCTACCTACTTTTGTTTTATCATTTCTGATTTCTTTTAGATTCTTGACTTAAGACTGATGTGAAAAATGGATCTTTTGGATCAGTTTTTGCTCCTTTGGTTCCATTGATTGGTCTTCGAGCTGTAATGGTGTTGTCTGGTTACTTCGTTAGCAACTTGGCCTTCGTATTGGCTGCTATCTATCTATTCAGGTACGATCCAAAATCGATCATTGTGTTTGGAAATAAGTAGTCATGAGTCTTTTTAGCTCTACAAGCTTCAGTTTTTCATGTATGGTGTCCGAGTTCCTCTTAGTTTTGTCTTACATCAGTCGTTGCTAACAGGGTTTCAGTTATTATCTTGAAGGACACTGACGCAGCATTCAGAGCTTCAATTATCTTCTGTTTCAATCCAGCGTCCATATTTTATTCATCAGTGTAATGTATTCAAGGCAATGATCTTTTTTATTCATTTATCGTATCAGAATGGTAACTAACTGAAGACCTGACTGTTTCCTTGTGACTTCCAGATATTCAGAGAGTCTGTATGCTCTTTTCTCAATTGGAGGCGTGTATCACTTGTTAATCGGTACCAGCAATGTAGCCGTTCTTTGGTTTGCTCTCTCTGGTTGTGCAAGGTCCAATGGAGTTCTTAATGCTGGTTATATCTGTTTCCAGACGATGCATCGAGCATATGAAGCTTTATATCAGAAAAGGCGCGTTGGTGTGAGTTATACATTTCATTTAAGTTTCAGAAGTTATGATGCCAAGTCATTCTGTTTCCTACATTTAGATCCTTTAGGAGATAGAAAAAGGAAAACTCGAACAATCATTCTAGTTACTTTGTTCTTTCTTCCTATTTAACGGAATCCTATGTTACTGTTTATCTGGTATGCTCATTAGTTACAGGTTTCAGTAGAAGAGTTTCTAGATTTAGTATCTCTCAAATAGCAGCTGCTTGGTCTATCATGTAATCTCTGAATGATTAAAGCCCATCTATTTAACTCTCTGTTAACTCTTTAAAGGTATGATAGCCATAATGACTTGTTTCCCTACCCAGTTGACTGTGCAGGTTTTGGTTGCTGGATTTCTTAGATGCATATGCATTTGTCTTCCTTTTGTGGCATTTCAAGCATACGGATACTATAACATCTGTCATGGACATAACCTAGATGACTTGAGACCTTGGTGCAAAGCAAGGGTACCTTTGATGTACAACTTCATTCAAAGTCAGTATTGGTAAGTACATTGAACAATATCCTTTTCTTGTTCTTGCAATTTTTTTTTCTTTTGATTTTGAGTCTTTGTTTTCTTGGTGACATGAATTGTGACAGGGGAGTAGGCTTCCTTAGATACTTTCAATTTAAACAGCTCCCAAACTTTCTGCTCGCATCCCCAATTCTCTCTCTAGCTGTATGTTCAGTTAAGAGTTACATGATGTCTCGGCCTGAGCTATTCCTTTCGCTGGGCTTTCAAGCTACTGAGAAAGAAAAGAGATCTTCTGCAAGGCTTTATTCTCTGAAGGATGCAGTTGAAACAGATGGTAAAACTTCATCACATGAAGGTATCAGTTCCTTCATCTTGTAATGTAATAGTTCCAAAACTAAACGTTGATAGATCCTCCGTATTTTCCTGAATAGGAAACCGTGACTTTAGGCAGCGGAAACCTAGCAGAAAGAAGGATGCGACTGTGACAAATGTGGCTGCGGAATCCACCTCTCCGGAAAAATCAGGATACTTTTCAGCTGATGTTTTCCCTTTTGTTGTTCACTTGGGTCTAATGGCAGGCACGGCATTCTTAGTCATGCATGTTCAGGTTATAATCCTCAATGGCATAAACAATTCAGTGAGAATATTCAAAAGTTTAGGCTCACTGTCCTCACATGCGTGTTGTGGTTATCACAGGTTGCAACGCGGTTCTTGTCAGCGAGCCCTCCTCTATACTGGTTTGCATCGCATTTGATTGCATCTCCTAAAAGCAGTAAATGGGGATACTTGATATGGTCATATTGTGCAGCCTATATCCTTCTTGGCTCTCTTCTCTTCTCAAACTTTTATCCCTTCACATGATTTAATACTTTTCTCAGCATCTTTGGCATTTTATCATAGTACCCGAGACGTGGGTTTACCTTCCCCAGCGGCAAGATTATCGGTTTCTTGCTCTAGGTCATGTAAATGCAGAGAACCAACCAGTTCTGTTGTATCTGCAGGATTCTAGCCAATTCTCGTATTAGCTTTTAGCTCAGCTCAGTGCTCACTGTAATTTCACTTGGCAAGATATTGATATGTTCTTTTTTGGCTGTTTTGTAAAAGATCTGACATTGAAGCGATTGTATCATTATGATGATATTATGAAATGAAGATGATATTTCGTGTGCAATCATAATCATCAAAATTATGAAAGGAAGATGTGTATATTTCAAAAAAACAAAATCGAATTCATCTGAAAAAACACATATGACAATATTTTCCCTTTTTGTTATTACTAAATAAAAAAACACAACAAAACTCAGCCCATGTGAACTGTATAATGTTTACAGACTTGCATAGAGCTAGCCTTAAAGCTATCTAAGCTTGGGTTTAATGAGTTCGATGCCTCCCATGAAAGGCCTGAGGGGCTCAGGGATCACCACAGATCCATCTTCTTGCTGGTAATTCTCCAACAAGCACACCATCATCCTCGGGATGGCACATGCTGTTGCGTTTAGAGTGTGCACAAACTTAGTAGCTGGAAGATTTGTTTTGCCTTTCTTAGGACCCGTCTGAAGTGGTTCAGATGGGCGGTAACGGATTCCCAGTCTCCGGCTTTGGTAATCCGTGCAGTTAGATGCGCTTGATATCTAGCTCAGATGTTAAAACAGTAAGCTCAAGAAGAAACTATGATTCAGTTCTAGTGGTCCGACACAAATAAAATAAGAGATTGTTGATTTACCTCGCCATATCGTCCTAAACCAGGCATCCATGCTTCAATGTCAAACTTGCGGTAAGCTGGAGCGCCTAGATCCGCTGTGGCCATGTCCAATGTTCTGCAAAGTCAAAGTTAGATTTCCAGAAGACAAAGACTGATGAGGAAAACATCGGATTCACATTCAGTTTCTTACTTGAAGTGTAATCCTAGAGCAGTGAACAGATCTTCTTCGATCTGAATGAGTTCGTCGTGGAAGGTTTCACTATCTTCAGGTCGGCATAAGACAAACATTTCTGCTTTGCTGAATTGATGAACTCGATAAAGACCTCTGCTCGAAAGCAAGAAAGTAAGGATGTTTAGTAAGACTTATGTGTATATTGAAGAAGCCAAGAACAGGTAGATGCTCCAAGGACTAAACTCTTTTTTCTAACTTACTTTGTGGCGGCCCCAGCTGCACCTGCTTCAGTACGGAAGCAATGAGAGAACGCTATATATTTCAAAGGTAATGCTGATTCAAGGAGAATTGAATCCATGTGTATTCCTCCCACAGGAATTTCAGCGGTACCAATGAGACATTGGTCAGTTCCATCTATAGAATAAACCTATCCAGAAGAATGGAAGTATGATTGGCAACAAACCAAAAAGGTTGGCTTAAACAGAGCAAAATACACAAGTATTGCAGAAACCTGAGTATTATCTCCACGAGGTTGGAAACCGCATTTCTCAACAATTGAAGATCTCACAATTTCAGGGGTCGTCAGGGGCGTAAAACCCTTCTTCATGACTTCTGATAGTGTCCAGTTAAGGAGAGCCATCTCCAACAACACTGCCTCATTCTTCATATAGAAAAACTTTGAACCACTTACCTGGAAGAATGTAAAAGCAAGAAGGGAGTTGCTTAACCTCATCCTTTTAATTAAAATATACAGGAAAACTGAAAATTTGGTCATCAATTAAATGCTTCATGCAGTGAAATGATTACTCAATCACAGAAGTGAACTCTACAAGTCCGAACTCGAAGTGTTCAAGTGAAGCTTAAACCTAAATACAATTGCACATATGGAAAAATCAGCTGCTTACGTTTCTCCAACAATTTACTGGGGAAAAAGTTTACTCAGAGTGTTTCAATGAAGGATAAATAGATACTCATGAGATATTAGCCCACCAGCTAACACCAAAAACGCTAATCCGACAACCTAAAAACATGATACCTTTAAATAGACAAAGTGTATACCTCTGCAGCAGAGTCAAAATCAATGAGATCTAGATCCTTCCCAAGCTGAAGATGATCCTTGATTGGAAAACTAAACTCACGAGGACTACCAACCTACAAAGAAAGTAATGGAATGTTTTTAAAAAAGCCTTTTTCACAACTGTGCAACAAAACGACATAGTCAACGCAAGCAGTTCTGGGAGATATGAACAAACTAACTACCTTTTTTCTTATTGTCGATGAATCCTCTCCCCCAACAGGAACATCAGGATGAGTCATATTTGGTATAGACTGTGCTACATGTTGTAGCTCATCCTTAAGCTTCACAAGGTCTTCTTCCAAAGTTACAAGACTTTCCTTAAGATTTTTACCTGAAGGCGAAACTCTCAATTATCTCTAAATAAAGAACAGACTGACAAACAAAATGGATTCCTCGTATACCTTCTTCTACGAGTCTCTGACGTTCAGATGGTTCCAGCTTCCCTTTCATCTTCTTCGCAACATTGTTTCTTTCCTCGCGAAGCCCCTCAACTTCCTGCTATCTGCAAGCGTTGATTAGCTGAACCGAGAGCAAAAACGATTTAATCCAATCTCTCGAAACTAGTCTTACATTTACAAACCAATGTCACCAACTCTCAGTGAGTAACCTAACCAAACATCAAGCTTTTGCAGCTTTAACATGATTCTTTGGAGACTTGTCAATAGAACAGGCAAAATTCTAGCAACAATTAGTTCTTCCTCAAAGTAGCTAACTTGACATGTTTCCAGTACTAAGAATCCCAAATTCGAATTGACCCATTTGCTCATATAGATTAGATAACCTTTTGGAGATTGACCATGTTTTCGTAAAGCTCGAGCACTGCTTCCAAATTAGCATTCGAATTTCTGTTCTTGATATTGATTTCGACTGCTTCCTTATTATCCCTTATCCATTTGAAATCAATGGCCGCCTTCCACTGAGGCCTCGCAACTAAGCAACCCGAAACGAATCAGAGACACATTCAAAAACAATCACGACGAGGTAAAGAAGAATACCAGAGGAATCCGAGGTTTGCGTGGTCGGAATCTCTTGAACGGCGGCGGAAGCGGAGAAAGACCTCACCAGGAGAGGCTTACGCGGTTGAAAATGGCGGGAGAAGAAACCTAGGGTTAGAAGAGTACTGCGAAATGGCTTGAGGAAGAGGCGAGAAGCCATAGGAACCGTAGTGAGTCTCAGTGTGTGTAAACCCATCGCCGGAGCTTCTCTGCTGACAAAGAAGAGACGACGACGACTATTTCCCAAATTTATCTACTGCTCTTTGCGGATTGCTTTTAAACGTTGTCGTTTCGATCCACGGCGGAGAGGTGACGTGTAACCGGAAGTCTTATTAGGCGGCTGTTCTGAATTAAATCCGCTACGTGAGGTCTACTTGTGGAGACCTTTGTTTGTCTCGCCACGTGTTTGTTTTAATTCGTGTTGACAATTCTACACTGTGTCAAAAAAACGGTGTCGTTACGTGACCGTCAAAGAAGACCAACGGTGTATATTATGATAATTCTGTTTGGACAACTTAAAGAGGAATGAGTTCTTCTCTTTTCTACTTCACTATGTCTATGTTTTTTACATTTTTCCTTGTGACACAAAATACATTGAAGAATTGAAATCGATTATGGAAAATACATTACTTGCGTTTTTGCTATACCGTTTGAGCTGAAATTAGGCAGGGTGATTTGGTCTGCTTTTTCGGTGAGTTCTCCACAAGTTTTCATTGTTCATCCAAATTTTCATCATTCATTTTGGTTAATTCTACTATTGCTTGTTCATTGTGATGTTTAGATATTCCAATTGATTTCATTTGATCTTCTTTTGTCCCTTGCATTTATAAAGCATGTTAAACACTAGTTACATACTTCACTTGTCGCAAGGGGATAACAAATGGTGAATTCTGCAACTCTTCGTTCTTATCTAGGTATTCCTTGGTTAACATTTGAGAAATACAGTTAGTTATTTTACTTGTTTTTTCTTTGGATTTTGGGCATAAACACCTTAGAATTATCTTCTATATTTAAGGATTTTACTCTATATTGAGAACCAATTTCAATAATTGTGGGGTCTTATGGTTGGTTCTAGAATATTTCTAGATAGGTTTGGCACTATAATCACTTGTGCTCACGTGGTGATTGATAATGAAAGACTTAATTATATTAAGTACAAATCATCTTAACACAAGGTAACAATTTTCTATATAACTTAATACTTTTTGTGCAAAGATAATCATTTCTATATTAACTTAAATACTTGTTTGTAACCTTGAAAGATGGCAGCAATACATTCACTTGAACTACCATTGGCTTAGATCTTGACTACGATCTTGCGATAGTCAAGATCGAGTTGCATAAGCCATTTATTCCGACTAAACTTGGAGATATTAATAGAGTTTGCTTAAGTGATATGGTGTTTTCTGTGACAATCTTTTTCATTTGTCTCATAGTTTTTCGATGAGAGTTATCATGTACTTTTTCATATTCTTAATTAATTCTATTTGCAATTTCTCATATTCTGTTTTTTGTTTGTTTTTCCTTTCTACAAGTTGCACTAGTAGGACAGCAAAAGAATTAGGGATCATTAGCCACTGCGAAGAGTTTCGTCAATCAGATTTCACACAATTGGCGCACAAACTGGGGTAAACTCTTGTTTGTTTGGTGACATTTTAGTCTTATTAGGGTAGTACTGGTGGCCCTTTGACCAACTTGAATGGAGAAGTCATTGGAATCAACTCAATGGTGGGAGCAAGACTTGCTATTGGCTATGCAATCCCAATCTACACTGTTTTGAGAGTCTAGAAGATGAGAAATTGGTAAACATCTACCTTAATGGTTACTTTTGTTTTTAAATCTTGCTTAAGTCTAACTTTATGTTCCCCCTTATGATATTAATCTACGATTTGTGTAAGAAGAAGACCCTGACCAGGAGAGGCTTACGCATTTGAATATGGCGGGAGAAGAAACCTATGGTTAGAATGGGAAGTGGCTTGAGGAAGAGGCCACACTTTGGACAAACAGTGGTGATTTTTCGTATTCATTACTAAGCCTAAGCACTTTAGTTCTTTTCTTTCATTTACTTTGATGATGTATCTTCAAATCTGTTACTATTCACATAGATATAGTTATCAAAAATAAAAGTGGTTGATTGTTCCTTTGTTCTCAATCATTTTATTTGTTCCTTTCAGGTTGATGGCAAATTGAACAGTGCTGGCGACGGACACGGTAATTATCTGAGCTCTAGCGCATTTGTTGACGCAGCCAAGGCAGACGGAGTAACAAAGTGGTTTGATAATGTCTATGATGTGACTATTGTGAAGATAGATCTTGCTAACTCAGATGCGTTTTCTCCGGCTAAACTCGAATTTTCCAGTAAAGTTCGGGTCGGTGATTTGGTCTTCACCTATGGTTTTCCTCAATGTTACCCTAGAAGCTTATCGATGGGTATTATCAGGTAAATTTTCATATTTTGATTTGTTTTTTAAGTTTCAAGTTAGTAGTAATTTGTAAAATTCTTTTTTTTGTCTTTACAAAGTTTTGTCACTCGCACATCCTCTCAAGTTGGGACGAGAGGGAAACGTTCATTGTTTTTCCAGATTGATTGTGAAATCTTTAAGGTG